GATTCGAGTCTCTCGTTCAGAGACTGGATACGAAATGAGGATCTCTCTATGAGCGACTCGAGTCTCTCGTCCAGAGACGCTAAACAGTTTTTGTAACAGTCTCTCTCAGCGACACCAGAGAGACTCGGAGAGACTGAACGTTTTTATCTCGGTAACTATTATTTAGTTTTATTGTATATGTTACATTATTTTAATGTAGGTATATTCGATAAATATGTACGTATTATTCCTGAAGGATCCATACGTTATAAGGTTACAACTTTTTCGATACCACAGGCAGGGCAAACGATAATTTAAATTATTCGAAATGTTCGAATCGTAATCCATAAATTCCATCGGAGTTTATCTGACGACATTAAAGCAAGAGAATAATCGAGAAAGTTTGCATACCAATAGCGCAAACGTAAAACAAATATGTACAACGATTTGGCCGTTAAAGAATCTCAAGCAAAATCCAAAGTAATGCTAGATAATCCTCCACACAAGTTCACAATGATACGACGCCACGGTGAATTCCGTCACGTAAAATTGGTAGCGGTTGATAAATAAGAGCATTCCAACGAGAGCCCGGATGGTTAGCTGCGGAATGTCGGGGAGAATGCAATATAAGACTAGCGCCTTCACTTTAATTCAACCCTCAATAACAATCAACGATAACAAGATACAAACAGCACGTCCATTAGGTACATTAAGAGAAATGGTAGGTGGTTACTGAACAGTATACCTGTGCTATGCAAAATATGGAATATATACGAGTGGTCTAAAAAAAATGTGAAGATGACAACACTCGTCAATAAAGGGCAGAGACTGCGCATGTTTTGACAGGCATTTACCAAAATTTCAGCTATTTTCGACGAGCAGTTGTTGTTTGGCAATTGCTTGGGTGAAACTGGAAAAAATCGAGGATTGAGCTTTCACTAAAAAATTGTGTTTGAAAAGCAATATATGCCTAGGCAAATCAAAGATAAGTTGGGCGGTGTGTACGGAGACTGCATCATTATTTACCACCGTAAAATTTTAGGACAGCTGAATTTAAAACCAAATGGTGCTAAACATGCGTCGAATTAAACAAGGAGATGTCCAAAGAACGTGTTCGTCACATATTGCACCAAGATGATAGGGATACGTCTGCGCGATGTCAAATGAAGATTTCCAACGCTCTGTTGGCGAAGTTTAGGCATAATAAGTTTTTGCGTCGACTAATTACTGTAGATGAAACTTGGTTACACAATTGTATATCAGAAATAAAAATGTAGTCAAAACAGTGGACTACGGAGGGGAATGGGCTCCAAAAAAGCTTTTTGTTTTTTTTTTGACTGGAAAACTGATATGGCGACTGTTTTTCGCATTATTACTTGACAAACTGAAGGCAGAAATTGCGGAAGAACTGCTACATTTGCAGAAAAAAGAATCTGTTTCGCCGTCTCACATTTTAGCGAAAATCCAACAAGTACGGTTCGAAGTGCTTGACCACCCTTCTTACCCACTATATCTAGCCCCAAGCAACTTCTGTTGCTGCTTATACTACAAATTGCGCTCGGAGGGCAGAAGACAGAGATTTCCCTGCGTTTTCAAAAGTTACGTGTTATAATTAAAGGTGTCTTTTTTAGTGTTCTTATCATAAACTGAAGAAATGAAATGAAGAATTATAAGTAATTGTCAGTATTCGCGAAAATGCGATAATTAAATTTATTTTTATGTGGGACAATTTCTTGTTTTTTTTTCATGAGACCAATGGTGTACCATCTTACTTCTTAAGTAAAAGACCCAATGTAGGCATGACACCACGAAGATAGAAACGAGTATTAGATTTCTAAACGTTTTGTGTGGAATTTTTGATTGTAGTGTTTTTATTTCGCTGGGAAGATAAAAAGTTACCTAATACATGTACGAGAACACGACTTACCTTACTGTTATATACTTTCATTTCGAATATTGTTTATTTTAATTCTTAACACATAAGGGTACATATAAAACATCTAACAAAACATCAAATGCAATACACATAGGTTCACATTAGGTAGTCGCATGCTACAGATTTTTTTAGAAAAATTCGTTTGAAAACGGTGATAGTTACGGCATTTTCCACGATAGCTGAATCCGGTAGTACAGTTTTATCATTTAATTAAAATTCAGTAGGTAAACTGTAAAAGTGCATGGAATCACGCATTTGTCAACAGCGATAATTTTTTTGAAATTCTTATTTGGGGTGTGGTTCGGTTCCTTTATTTACCTATTTATTTATAAATGCGAATCAAATTTAAGGTGGGAGAACCCAGCTTGACATAAAATTACATATTAACTATGCGTTTCTTAGAGCCTCGCGCGCACGAGAGCGTTTTCTACCGTGCGATTATTTAGTCGCTCCAGTAAGGTGACCGCTGCGCTAGTTAAAATGGAATAAATGCCTTGGAGCTGAAACAACCGCTCCCGCTCTGCCTGACATTAGTGATATGTAGATATCGAAATATGAAGTTCATTGAGACCGCTCCTTCAGTGATTTACTTTCTAAAATATTGTTCATCCATCAGTTTTAAAGAAAGATTATGAAAAAATCAATTTCACAAATTGTGTGGTCCCAATAAATTTTGAAACATGTTACATTTTTAAAACAGTTACAGTTAAATAATCGCTGGCGCGCTCAGGTGTATTTAAAATAATGTGTTAGATGACAACGCAGCGGCCACGCGGAAAAAAAACGTCTCGTGGGCGTAAGCCCTTAAGACATTACACGTGCCCTTATATACCTGAGGCGTGAAAAGTCATCGACAAACCACCTTTTGATCTCTGGTTTGTTACTAATTCAAATTTATTCAAAGAACTTCTTGATAAATTCCTGATAGCAACAGATGTATCGATACATATAATGTGAGTTAAAGTGCCTCTTGCTAATAAAATATCTATAAATAAGTAAACATATAGTATAGTTTTTTACTTACTGCCGACGACCGTGAGCATGATGTAATAACTTTTGATGGGTTGAGTATTCAGCTGACAACCGTAAGTGCCTTCGTCCTTGGCACTAACCCATTTGATCTGCAAAGTCCAATCGCCAGAAGTGTTGTCATGTAAAATAAAATAACGTTGATCACTGGTGTAAGTGTATGTCCCTACTGAGATGATGTGGACGTCGGCATGGCGAATCCAGCTTACCTAAAAACCAAAACATAATTATTTTACTCAAAGTAGTTTACTCACTTTTCTATAGGGTTTATTAGAACTTGAACAGAATATCCATATCGTAATAGGATTTTGTTTAAAGAAAATCTGTTTGCAAACTACATCGTATAAAATAAGTTTAATAATACAAAGACATAAAGATAGCTTTAAATAAAATGGAAGCGGTACTGACAGATCAGTACTGTATGAAAATAAATAAAAGTAAAACTAAAATATTGGTATGCAAGGGAAGAAAAAGTAGCGAATATAAAGATAGGAGGCGAAAAATTAGATGAAGTGGCCGATTTTAGATATCTAGGAAGTCAGATAAGTCAGGATGGAAGGAGTAGTAGGGATATAAAGCAGAGGATAGCGCAGGGTCGTGTCGCCTTTAATAAAAAGAAGTGACTTGTATGCTCGCGAACGGTTAATTTAGAAATTCGAAAAAGGTTGTTAAAGGTGTATGTATGGAGCGCGGCGTTGTACGGGTGGGAAACATAGACAGTGGGCGCAGCGGAAAAGAAAAGGTTAGAAGCGTTCGAAATGATGTGTTACAGGAGAATGATGAGGATACCGTGGATAGAGAAGGTTCTACATGAAAAGGTATTAGAAAGAATAGATGAACAGGAGACTTTATGGAAGTCAATAAGAAATAGGCGAGATAGGTTAGTAGGACACCTTCTCAGGCATGAAAGTCTAGTGAGAGACATATTAGAGGCAGAAACGGAAGTTAGAAGGGGTAGAGGTAGACCTAGATTAGATTACTGTTCGTAAATAGTTAAGGATGTTGGTTGTTCTAGTTTTAGGAAAATGCGAAGATTAACTCAGGATAGGAAATAGTGGAGGTACGTGTCCAACCAGTCTTGACGACCTTATGATGATGAATATAAAGACAGCAATATATTATATTGAAAAAGATAAAATTAGATCAAACTGAATCCTTAAAAATCTATGAATACCTATGTATGATGAAGGCGAAAAGATAAATTTCCTAAATGACCAAACTGTCATTAAACTACTGTGTAGATATAATTCCAAAAGTAAAGTTCCAAACTTCCATCCCCTAGGTTTAAAATGACTTTTAAATCGACACTGGGGTCCTCATTGACACTAAGTAAAGGGGACTTAATTAAGAAGTACCATAATCAAAGGCAGACATGTAACTAAATAGTGGGAAAGATAGAATACGTGCCGTATGTCGTTGACTAAGTTATGGTTCAGATGTAATCTCTCAGTGGTGTTTTATAGATTAGGTACTAGGTTTTGCCCGCGGCATCGCTCGCTTTGATGCCCTAAATACATGTCAAAGATCATCGTCGACCACATAAAACTAATTTTTCTATCCCACGGGAACAGTAGTGTAGATATATATTGAGCCAAGTAAACGATTTTTTTTATCTAGAACGTTATAAGGAATAGGTATTAAGATTATAATAAATTTGATGTTGTTCGTACGATATTATATAAAAATTCCCTGTTCCATCTTGTATGCGTTAACGTAAATGGGCCATTGTAAAAATGCTATGCGTTATACTGTATAAATATGCTAAAAAGCTCTAGTACGTGTCCCGCTTTAGCAGTCAGACCCCTTCAACAACATGAATACTTTGTTTCCTTTCATAGCACGTTTAACCTATTATGGTAAGAATAACGCTGAGTAAAAAAGTAGTTTCAGTAATATACGACAGCTAAGTTGGCAAGAATGCTACTTTTGCTACAATCAATTTTATCTTCAACTGTTCAGATATTTCCTCAAAGATTTCAAACAACAATAGGGGATTTTGTCAAACTAATGTGTTACATCCGCCTTTTTTTAAATGTTTAAAAATAGTAAAACGTTATTGAAGAAAAGGCTCGTTAATCATAACGTTGAAATAAACGATTTATCTATAGGTAACAAAAAGCACTATGACATGGCTCTTGTGGAAAACTACGTTAATATCAAATTTAGTGATTGATTATATCGACGAATCATCACAGTACGTAAAACCAACAAAAAAATAATTATCATTGAAAATAATGAAAGAAACTAAACTCAAAAAGTCTTAGAACACTAACTCAATATTTTTGGAATCGGTGCAAATTCAACCAGAAGCTCGTTCCTTGCGTGTATTTTCTACATAATTTTGCATTATGTTATTTACTTTAAGGTTATTGTCATACATTTGTTTTTTCACTAATTAAATTAAGATTAATTACATGATCATTTCTATAAAGGTGATTGTCAATAACTTACAGTCGAGGTGTATTATTACCTAGTTGTATTACATGTGCAATATTTCGCCATTAACTTCATTAAACGCTAAGTACTCGTCATTTTTATATAGGTGTGTACGTACATTTAAACCTTTAATGCTTAATGTAGTCAAAGTCGATAACAAAACTTCGCACATAAAGTAAACTTAACATCTGGTACATTATTTATTGAAATTCCCGGTACCCTCTTTACCCATTGAATTAATTTTGTTTTACTTCTTACGTCTTAGTTCTGCGAGGTAATACCGAGTTTGAAGGCCACTTGATCAGTGGGTCAACTGCATAAAAAATGCACCTACTTCAAAAGCCTATAATTTTTGTATATTGAGTTAGCGAATTGAACATTTACAGAATTGTGTGGCCATATACAATATCTAGTTTTTGAGATTAATTTCAACATAATACCGTAGACGTTCCCGAGAAAAAGGTACTTAATGAACAAATGAAGGACGAAGGAATTCTATTAAGAATTCTATTTTTATTGCAAGGTACCTCATCACCATAAGGTCGTCAGTCCTAAAACTGATGGTTGGACACTCCACTTCTTCCTATCCTGAGCTAATCTTCGCATTTCCCTAAAACTAGAACATCCCACATCCTTAACTATTTGCGAACAGTAATCTAATCTAGGTCTACCTCTACCCCTCCTAGCTCCCGTTTCTGTCTCTAATATGATTAGACCTTCATGCCTGAGGAGGTGTCCTACCAACTTATCTATCCTATTTTTTATTGATTTTCATAGTCCTCTGTTATTCTATTCTTTCTAATACCTCTTCATTTCTAACATTCTCTTTCCACAGTATCATCATCATCCGCCAGTAACCACATTTAAAACGCTTCTAATCATTTATTTTCCGCTACGCCTACCGTTTATGTTTTGCACCCGTACAGCGCCGAGGTCCAAACACACACCTTTAACAATCTTTTTACCAATTTCTAAATTAATCCTTCGCGAGCTACCTATACATAAATAAAAAAAATACATTTTATAAAAATTACCTTTTGTAACTATTGTCGGTCAACTACATATTATATATATTTTCTCCGAATATTCGCTAAATAAGCGACCAGATGACTTACAAACAAAGAAAACAGCAATATAGCAAAGATATACAGGACCATATAGTTTACGCCCTGCAAGCAAATTCTTACCTATACTGTAATGATATTGAATAACAGAAAATGAATGCCTTTCCTTTTTTCTAAAAACTGGAATGTCCACTAATAAAATTCAACACAGGCAGTATTTACGTCTGTGGTCTTTGTAAACGTATCTGCCTTTCAATTTCAACTGAAACCCTCACAAAATGACTGGGACATATCGTCGTTTAATTACTCGACCAATCTGAATTGAAATGGATATTTGCGTGTTTACTAGTGTAACAGAATTCTCGGTTATTTTCCTTATCGATTTGACATTACCATCTACAAATAATCCAAAATTCTACCACCTCGTCTATTTCATGTCTAATCAAACTTTCGTTGCAATATTTTGAAGGGACCTACATTATCCTGTCTGTCAATTTATACATACAGCAAGGATTCTTAAAATGAATGTTACCGTTACAACCGAAACTAGAAACGTTCAAGAACATCTTATTGTTAGTAGAATATAACTGGTGTTTGGTTGCCGCTGGTAGGGAAACTTGAAGCTACTACCACATACGAGACCTGTTCAAAAAGTATTACGAATTTTGAATTTCCGCGATTTACGTATTTTCCATTTTCTTTGTGGCTTTATGTTGGTACTCATGTCTCTCACTTATATCGACAAGTTCGGCCATGTTGAATGTTCAGTTAATTTTTAACGACTGCTTTGTTTGTACGTGTTTTGGCTCGTCTTCGATTTTTACCTATTCCAAAAAATGGATCAAAGAATCTGTATCAAATTTTGTGTGAAAAGCAAATTTAAGTGCGCAGACGCATTCCGAATGTTGACTGTGGCATATGGTGAAGCTACCTTAGACCGGAGCATCGTTTATCGGTGGTACTAAATGTTCTCAGAGGGCCATAAAGATATGAACGACGAAGAGCGTGCCGGGCGGCCCAGCACGTCAACAACAGACGAAAACATTGATGAAGTGAAGGAAATTCAATTGGCCAATCGTCGAATCACCGTTAGAGAAGTTGCTGAGGACCTAACCGTATCGATTGGCTTCTGCCATTGGATTTTTACCAATGATTTGAGCATGAGACGGGTTGCCGCGAAATTCGTACCAAAATTGCTCAATTTCGACTAAAAACAGCATCGCATTAACATTTCTGTGGAGTTGTTGAAGATTCTGTTCGCGAAGATCCAAATTTGATCCAGAGGGTCCTAATTGGTGACGAATCATGGGTTTGTAGTTATGACGTGGAAACCATAGCTCAACCATCCCAATGGAATCTGCCGCACGAGCCAAGACCGAAAAAACCGCACCAAGTTAGGTCGAATGTGAAGGTTTTGCTTAGAGTTTTCTTCGATTGCAGGGGAGTGGTGAAGCAATCCGCCAGAAACGCCTGGATTTGTGGAAGAACAAAAATTGGCTTTTGCACCATGATAACACCCCTGCTCACGCATCGTTGCTTGTGCGTGAATTTAAGGCCAAAAACATCACACTAACAATGCCGCAGTCACTGAATTCTCCAGATATGGCTCCCTGTGACTTTTTCTTGTTCCCGAAACTGAAGTGGTCCATGAAAGGACGACGCTAAGCTACGATTAACGAGATAGAGACGGCATCGAAGGAGGAGCTGAA